CCCCCCCCCCCCCCCCCCTATGCCTGCTGGAGCCTCAAGGTTGAGAGTGACGTCTTCATCACTTCTGACGAACTTCTGGTCGCCTGTCCAGGATTTTGGTATTTGGGAGTTTCCGAAAATANNAAATAGGGGTACCTTATTTTGGGGTCTTTATAATAAGGATCTTACTATTTAGGGTACTATATTAGGGTCCCCTATTTTCTGAAACCCCCAAGTGAACACTGCGGCATGCAGGTTTCGCCTCAGCTGCATTGACGCTTGGGCGTGCTTTTAGGAAGGTGTTGCGTGCACCCACCCGGAAGGCATGAGTAGACATGGCTCGGGTAGGTACGTAACCATGCGTAGTCGTGCGCAGTGATAGGTTGCACTTACCTAGTTGAGTTTCATATAAGTCGCGATGTATGTGCAAACACCCTCTTGCACATGTCCATGAGCGTATGAGCTTTCTTCCCCGCGAAGGCGTTCTCGAAGCATCCCCTCAAGAGCCCGCAAGCCTGTGTTAAAACCCCAAGCCCTCAACCCTAAACCCTCAACCTTAAACCCTAAACCCTCAACCTTCGACCCGAAACCCTAAACCCTAAACCCTAGACCCCAAAACCAAAATCAGATTGAGATGGAAAGCCGAATCTCTTGAGAACTGAGAAGAGCCTCCTCAGAGGCGATCCTCCGTAGCTCCCAGGGTTTAGGGTTTAGGGTTTAGGGTTCCCAGGATCAGACCACCGACCTGAGTTCCTCTAATACAGGGGGCCTTCAGAATTATCTATACTATTTCGGGTGTTTAGGGTTTAGGGTTTAGGGGGTTCCTTAGGATAACTATAGACTATAGTCTAATATTCCCCCCAAAGCCCTATTCTAACTATTCAGGCCGCCACATTAAGTTCAGACCCCAAGTCCTCCAGCCGCGTTTTATGGACTCGCAAGAATTCAGGGCTTAGGGTAAAGGGTTTGAGAAGACTGCTAAAAACTTCGGGCTTTATCTTGGGGGTCCTGGACTCCACCCTGCACTATCCTCGACTCCAAATCCACGAAGTCCCTGTGGCAGAATTATACTATAGTTATAATAATAAAGGTACCCCCGAAATAGTATAGGTAACTATTAAGGCCTTTGGCCGAAGTCCTTTGCGAGGCCATCATGTGGAAGAACGGCTACTCGGATGCGGAGCGCAACGCCATCCAGCTCCGCGACCGTGTGGTTGGCACAATGTTCACAATGGCATGATACTTGACACGCCCTCACCGTCATCGTCATCATCATCATCAGCAGCATCAACACCAACACCATAATCATCATGACCATCTGTAACCACCATCAGTCATGCTCTACCGTCATGAGTCGTTATCATCATCATCATCATGATCATCATCATGATGACGATCATCATCAGCAGCATCAGCAGCATCATCAGCATCATCAGCATCATCAGCATCATCATCATGATCATGACCATTATCACCTTCATCATCATCATCATCATCATCGTCATCATCAGCATCATCATCATCATCATCATCATCGCCATCCTCCTCCTCCTCCTCCTCCTCATCATCATCATCATCATCATCACCACCATCACAATCGTCATCACCGTCACCGTCACCGTCATCATCATCGTCGTCGTCGTTTTCGTCATCTGCAACATCGTCGTCATCGTCATCACTGTCATCATCATCATCCTCATCCTCATCCTCATCCTCATCATCATCATCATCATCATCACCATCATTGTCATCATGATCCTCACGAGTCGAGCAACACTGTCTGGAGTGCCTAACCACACTGCTCCAACCCAAGCGACTACCTGACCGCGGGACGAAACGGACTCCATTTCTAGAGCGCAGGCCCAGGTTGGGCAGAGCTCCAAGGCTCCCTCTTGGGCCCTCGGTTCTGGGAAGCACGGGCTTTGGGATTTCTTCTGAGATGTTGGAATTCCACTTTGCAGCTCGCAACTGGGAACCGAGGTTTACGTTTCCAAGCGACTATAAGTTTCACTACCCAGAGCTGTCTGTGATGTTCGACATTCCGGAGGAGGATACGCGCCTCGGCAAACACCTCAGAACCCGAAACCCCAGCCCTAAA